TCTATTTTTCGGTTCTCTTTTTTTCACTTAACTCCTTAAGGTATGGTGGCACCTGCTTCCTTCATTCCTCCCTTCAGGGATGCACAGAAGCAGTCTGTTAACTTTAAAATATCGTCTACCATGGTTCCTGGAAAATAGTGAGTGTGCAGTGTGAGAGATCTGTGTTTCACCGATTATGAATGATTTTCACCTCTTCTAAACCTGTTTCTGTGGCGAAATTTCTTCATGATATCTTGGGTCAGCGACCTGAGGCAACTCGGAAGATCTTGTTATAGTAGTTATCACCTAGGTTCGGATGAATGTAGGCGTATGGTTGAAGGTGCACACTGCGGTCTTACGTGGTTGAGCAATACTAAGGGAGGAGAAACCTATTATACTTTCTATAGTGCTTGCATTCTGGAAATGAAAGAATTTAACCTGGCTTGGCTCAACATACAAACTCTTTTTGGAAAACTTTGTAGTCGGCTGATAGGAGTTCACTCATTGGCAAGGGAGAGAGGTATGCTGCATACCGCTCGTCCTGCTATCACATCAAATGCTTTTAGATTGAACAGTCTTCAAGTTACCATACTGGTTTGTAAAAGCTCTTGGTGGTTTGTAAACATTTTTGCTGCTTTCCCGCCACCCAGGACGTCGCTTGTTTCAGTTCACTAAAATGAAATTGTGGTGGAAATTGAGAGATGTTATGAGAACAATAGCACTGCAAAAGCTACAGTTGTTGTAAACCGCCTCAAGACTCGCGGAATTACTGTGACACACACACACATCCAGAGGCTGCGACGGCGTCCAGGATTCAAGACTACGACGAAGTACAGACACTAATTAGCTGGCCCGCCCCGATTTCTGCTCGGAAAGATTGCGGCAGTAGATTTTTCTGATTGTGTCTTTAGCGACGAATGCACAGTCCAAAGTGAGGACGTTATAAGTTAATCTAAGTCCGCATTTGTTGTGATTTCTACCCGAATTTCCGTTGACTGTTCAACCAAGTCCTGTTTCGTGAAGCAAGGCGATCGATATTCAAGAATGCGCCATGCATTCAGTGCCAAGCATCCTGCCAAAATTCACATTTCTGAAGGTATTTCGGTCCGAAGCACCACCCAATTCTCTATTTTACCTGAAAGCTGCCGAATTGATAGCGAACTGTATTATAGAATTCTGGAAAGATGCTACCTTCCTCTCCAAATCAGGGTTTGTAACGGGTTGTTCTGTCTTGCAGTCGAGATTCTCTTTTAATTATGAGCCTTCCGTTATGATTATAAACTTCAGGATATTGCCGTCTTGTGCAAGACTATGCGCCATCACATAAAAGCAGTCAGACGAGCAAAAGCATAGGAACTCGGAGGTCGACACAATGGTGCGGCCCGCGGAGTCACCCGCCTAAGCACAACTGAGCTCGTTTGGGGCAATATGGAGAGCTGTATCAGTCGATAGACTGGGCACTATTGAAGTTGAAGTACCAGTACCACATGAATTTAATTTTTGATATTCCTCCAAAAAGCAAGGAGTTCGCTGTTCAGACGATCTTAAGGTGGCTATCGCCAAGTAGTGGAAAACGCTCACCCCAGAAGTATGCGCGAAATACGTTGGCGGTATCAGGAAGAGAATGGAGCGTATTGTAGAGCAACGAGGAAGAGTTATTACTGAGAATAAGTAAATTGATTAAACAGTGTTAATTAGGAAGAACCGTCACAATCGTTTGTTCAGAAACACTCCACCTGTCCGAGGGAATATAGAACACAACTTCCTCTTCGATCCTGACTATTCTGACATCTACTTCTTCCACTGATTGACTCAAACGTATATGATCGAACCCTTATCCTGATCATATACGTTTAAGTAGTATATATCCCTGGCTTGTAAAAGTTACTGTTAATGTATATTCTCATTGTAACAAGTATGCACTGTGAATAAATTCATAAATGGGCTAACTGTTCTGTTCAATACAGTATCGAGTAGCTGAGGCAATCGAAGTACGAGGGGTTTCGTCAGGACGGATTGTGTATATAGCTCATGACACGCAAATCCATCTAAAAACTTTCATAACAGCGGTATAGCCGATCACAAGCGGAGAATTTTGCAATTCTGTGCAACAGTTCCAATTTCCAAGTAAGCAAATGGTCAACGCTCAGATGGGAGATTTCAAATTTTCGTCATTTCGTGATAAAGCGATACAGGTCAAGTCTTTGTGAGCCAAGCGAAATGTTTTCCTAGAAAGTAGGGGCTGTAACCGCGCGAAACACAGGATAACACAGCCACCTGAACTTGAGTTTCCAGCTGAACTTCGCGGAAACCCTGTAGAAACTGGAATCAAAATGATCACAGAATCATGCTCGTCTCGAATCTGTTAGCCGAAGTGGAGGTACTTCAAGACTCGATCTTAGATTTCCTCAAGAATGAGGCTGAAGAGTTGAAGGAAGTGAAGGTTTCATGAATCGTTGGATTCGTCGCAATCAGAGCTATCCATTAGTCTTATTTGGACCACTTCCACAGTAGTTCTTGCAAAACGACGGTGTGCGACAGTGTCGCAGTCGTCGATTGTCCACAAAGTAGGAGAGATAAATGTACTTTTTCCCCTCATCTTCTTGAAATAGACTAGGAACTCCGGAAATGCATTTTTTTGAACATCACAACTTTTCGAGAACTGAGCTTCTGAAGAGGGTTGTGCTTTCTATGTTCGGTATTTATATTTGTGCTAGAGCAATTTCAAACACTCGTTTCAAGAGAGCTTTTTCCGTTTTGACGCCACTGTTGAATTTTAGTGTCATCTAAGAATTTTCACGCTTTGAAGAGCCACAACTTGCTTCACGTGTGGCCTATTGAAGTGCCGCACTTTTTCCCTATACGAAAATTCCTCGTTGTACTTTTGTTGTGAGAGTTTCGGGTTGTACGGGAAACCCACGTCTCCGGCGCAATACCGTTTCCTGTCCGTTTAAAGACTTAAGTATGCTTTTAGAACACATATTTCCGTCGAAGTTATTAGGAAATAGTTCACTGGACGCCGGTTGACATTACTATGTTGCGCCATGCATCCGACTTCCACAGAGGTGTTGGAGAGGCGTAACATGCAGGTGAGGTTTTTACGTGCACACAGATGTTCTCCTGTTGTTTAGAAAAGTGTGCCGCGTACACTGTTTTGTTTGTTTATTAATTCATGACGTCATGGGCAGCCATCGTACTTACAGGTTGCTTCTGTCTTCAGATACCTCTTCAGCTGTTTTTCACATGAAGAATAATGAATAATCCTTTTATCATCCAAGCTGTACAACATTTGAGTATCGCTGCTACTCCCACTTCAGAAAGGGGCCCGCGCTTATGATCGCCCCCCCCTCCCTCCTCCCCCCGCCCCCACTCCATTGTGACGCAACGATTGCGTGCCCTGGTCGCCGCCCATTCCCCATTTCTGTGCTTACAGCTTGCCACTGTCTTCAGGTGTCTCTTCGGGTGCCCTTCACAACAAGAACCATAAATTTTATATCATGCAGTGTCTGTACAAACTGCTGTTCCCACTTCTGCATGCCTCACAACAAGAAACCTTAAATTTGTATATCATCGTGTCTGTACTAAACTTGCTGTCTTTCATTCACACCTTCTGCATGAGCAAATGCGCTACGAGCCCCCCCCCTCCCTAGCAGATCGAAATACGCCCTTCGGCTCCTGAAGTCGTTTTTGTTTAGATAACTGCTGTTTTACGCCGCAAGTACGCGTTACGAAAGTTATCACAAGAATGCTAAGTTATGGGCAAAAGTCGTGCCCCAGGCGGGAGTCGATAGTCGAATCTAACGAGTTACGTCTGACCGGTCACAGTTAAAACGTCATGTGAGCTGCTGTAAGACTACGCGCATAGCCCTAAGCTGAGAGGTGATGAAATAGGCCCTGGTGGCGTAACGGATAGCGCACTCGCCCGGAAAGCGTGAGGTGCGGGTTCGACTCCCGCCTGGCACGACTTTTGCCCATAACATTCAGCCTTCTTGATACCCTCGGCTCTGATTTCCATAACGATGGCATGCCCGGACTGTGACCCTTCCATATCAAACCAGTTCGGTCCTGCTGCGAATACCGCGGATATAGCTACAGTTTGAACGCAGCAACGTGGATCTCAGACGGACATCCGAAGGGAGACATCTTATGAGGTGTTTTACTCCGTTAGCCTTCATTGTGAGTGGTGTAGAACACAGCAAATTGTTTCCAAATATTTATAATTTTTCATCACCAAATAAATGACAAATTATTATAAATACGAATGCAAAATATATCTATATATACAAAATATAATTGAATAATTGCTCAACGACTCGCAAGTGAGGTATGAGTTTCGAATCTACCCGATTGACTCGCAGTAACAGCGAAAGGAGGACTAGAAATATGAAGGTACTAACTCATTTATACACGACAAATAGAATTTTGAAGCAAACTGAAAATGGGAGTTGTCATTATGAAGGATACTCGTTCGTTGAAAGCCTGAAACCCAGTGAGTACAGCAGCGGACAGGCCGCTCTGCTCGAAAAAGCATAATAGCCGTAAGTGAATAGCATTCTTCGAACGACATGAATTGGGAGGAAAAGAAAGGCGGCATGATTTGTACTATGGGAAAGACAGGTGAAATTGCGGCACAGAGCAGTCTCTGGCCGTGAGCAGAGTCAGTGGGACCTGCCAAGCACGTACTCCTTCATGTGAGTAGGAATCGGCAGACGTGAGACCGTATCTGGTCGAAATGGCGCCACCATTGAACGAAGGCTCAAACGACAGATCTGCTGTAGCGAGGCAGGGTTCCTGCAAATAAGTTAAAATTACGGTAACTGCATGCAAAATCATGGGTATGGTTACTAAGCCGATATCAGGCTGCGCCACGGCACTGAGGAAACCGAAACAGCACCCAAACAAAGACTATTCTTCTCAACACCCTTCTTACACGAATTTCAGCAAGTTGATTTGTTTTACCGTTTTTTAAATTGTTTCTCATTCATGTGCGCAAGTGAGATTGCTGCATGAAAAGGTCCTATAGGCACTGTATTTGCACGGCTTCAAACTGCCCACTTAGGCTGCGTTCATACTTTGCGGCAGCGTCCACCAGCGAGCACCAGCGTTTCGAGCGTCCATCAGCGCCAGCGGCTAGGAAAGTATAGATATCGAGCGAACGGCAGCGTTCACCACTTACAGGAGTAGAGAATATGGGGACATGGGTAAGCAGTAGACAGGTGGTGGAGTAGGGCGCGAAAGCGAGGGAGCAGATGCACTCGATTAGGCGTCACAACATATCGGCAGCTCGGGTGCAATCGCACCCACGTAGTCCACCATTACCGTCACTGTTAGTGCACCTCAGAAATTGTACCGGGTGCGCGATTGCCCACGCGCCGCCAGTTCCACGACGCCTATTCCTAATTCTCGATTATTCTCCTACTTCCCCATACTCTACCAGCAATCTGGTACCTTCCTACTTCTCATACTCTCCACTCCTAGACGCTGGCGTTCGCTTAATCGATATTCATACTTTCCTAGGTGGTGGACGTTACCGCAAAGTATGAACGCAGCCTTTGCTGGAACCTTGAGGTGAATTTTTCTAATTAGTAGTACACACACTAAAGTCCATGCCCTTCGAATTTGTGCTGCCAGACACCTGCGTATATCACCCCCAGCAACGATGTAGATGCGACCCCCCCCACCCCTGAAGCACTCCTCAGCGAAAGGTGGATTCTAGCAGATACTTCTTCGTGTCCAATATGAGGGTCACTTACTTTGCTCGTTCTAAGATGTCCCCTTTCAGAGCAAGAGGCAAAGGCAGACGATCGATGGCATTGACGTCGAAGTCCTCACCAAGTTCCAGCATTGAGTTCAGTACCTGGAACTAAATCTAATCATTTTGACGAGTTCCTATAGCTCCACAGTATTCAACCGGATCGAAGATTTCAACGCACTTGGGGCTGCTCGCGGGTGGCGGCGAGGCGCAGTACGTTCCTCAGCTGGCCGCGGGTGTTGCTGATAGGACTGCGCATAACGACTTTTGCGCCATACGACAGCAGCAAATGAACGACTCGAGGATCGACCTGGAACTGGGATCTTAAATATCAGGATTGAAAGCAGTCTTACGGCCAAGAGGACACCAGTAGTGCTCACCTCGTCCCTGGAACGGAAGTACTCCACGAAGGGACTTTTCAGCTGAGAGCCATCATCGAAGCGATGCTGTATGTTAGGATCTGCTCCGGCTTCAAGTAGAAGACGAAGAATCTCATACTGATGTTCCAGAACTGAAACAAACTGCAGTTAGTTGCATCGTTCAAAGACTGTACTCAAATCTCTGGGGCGAATGGAACCAACTGGCGTGAATGACTCCGCTCAAAAGGGAATTAATGGTCTGGACCTAGTCCAGGAGCCCCATTGCAATCGGATTCACTTCAAAAGCGGGTGGACCCCAGTATTAATAATTTAGTTCATCCGAATCCAAGTGTCCATCCCAAGACAACGGTTCATAAATTAAGCCCATTTCCATGAAATCAATCCAGGGCCGAGAGCGTTCTTCATCATCCTTACTTAAGCCTGAGACATCGTTTACCCAAAGTACAGGTGTAATACAGCTAAAGTGTAGCCAGAAGAAGAACAGAACTAGGCTAAAGAAATATTCATAACATCGCTTGTACCTGAACATGCGGCAAGATAAAGCCTGAACCCAATCTTAGTAGTATGCGCGTTTACATCAGCTCCAGCTCATTATGATCTGGAAGGAGAGACGATTGAACAACTCGATGGAAACTACCAGATCATACATGTAACAGCGACAGCGAGTATTCTGCTAGCTCGAGGGTAGTGCCTTAGCACCTCTCCGCTTCCAATTCCTAGCACAGAGCATTTATGCCCTTTTCCACACTGCTCCCGGCCCCAGGGAGGGTTTTCCTTTTCGTCACTGCTCTCAGTCCTCTGGCTGAGCATACCCCTTTTACTGTCTGAACATGAGTTTATCACTCTTTATCATGACCCGCCAAAAGCACTTTCTCTGAAACATGTACTTGTGTGGAATTTGGTCCGCTCCAATTAGATATCCAGTCCTTCTTGATGCGCACCTCACCAGTTACATGTCTTCCTAGGCAGCTTATAACTTTACATAACCTGGGGCCCATGTCAAGTGCTACTTACTTTCTTACTTTGCTGTTCTTATTAGCACACTTTTTAGGTTTTGGGAGCGCAGCCAGGGCGGCCTTGTTCCAACAACGATGTCATCCTGCGTCCGCTACAACTTGGTAAAAAAAATCTGCTCTGACAGCGCTCCAAGCCACCCCGCTGCCCTGCCCTATCGTTTTCGTGGATACCGACTGTATATCATCTATCGAGGGCTACCGTGTCCGAAGAAAGCGTGGGAACATCAAATGAACGCGGGCTGTGCATTTACCCACCATTTCAGTACCTCCTTTGGCATTTCCATCTTAGGTTCCTTCAGCTCACACTTACTTACTCCATAATTCCAATTAAAAATTGATGACTTATACGGAGACCACTTCTTACTCAACCATCATCCAACTTTTTATCATCCCACCGACTTTTGACACTGGTGCCCATATCTGCTCCAACAACACAATTTCTATAGCCTATCACCTATCATCACTCAGTATCACTGGGTTCAATCCCTATCTCTTCCCACTCATTCATACCCCTGTTCATTTCAACCTCTTTTACTACATTTGCCATTACATACGTACCGCCACTCTGGATCGCCCTATCTTTGTGTGGCATTTGTATCGGCTCTTATCACTCCTTGACCCCGTAAACCACTAATCATAAGGCCCCAAATAGTGTAGGTCTTCACTGTTGAGA